TATCAAATTTAAGTGATTTTTGATTGAAAATAGAAAGAAAAGGCATGTTTTAGATATTTTGGTTCAAGTTTCATGAAATCAGGTGAAACCACATTCATCGTATGTTTGCCGGAATTTCGGGTCAATTGAGCACAAAATGAGTCAATTTGAGTAACAAATGAAGTCATACCGGAAGAAGTAAGCATTTTATCAAGGTGACCCAGAAGACAATCTTGGAGAGCAGGAAACGCAGGAATTACCAGACAAATTTGGCAGAAGGCGCCCAAATAGGCGCCCAAAATGGCCGCCTGGTTGGCCGCCTACGATAAAATCAAAAGTCAACCTTTGAGTTTGACCCGAGCCGGTAGAAGACAGAAGGCGGCCGACGGAGGACGAAGGGCGGCCGCCCTCAGTGGCCGCCTGCGGCACAACAGGACGAAGCCAACCACCGGCCGGTGCGACTGGACGGCAGGCGGCAAGACAGGAACGGCAGGCGGCCGCCTTCTGGACCGCTTGCGGCTGACGGGATGTGGCCACGATCCGTTGCCGGCGACATGACGGTAGGCGGCCAGATTTGGGGGAAGGGCGGCCGCCCTCTTGGGCGCCTTCGGGAAAAATTTGGGCTATAAATACCAGGCTTTTTCCCATCTCAAACACACCATCTCTAACCCTAAATCAGTTCTAAAAAGGCTTCTTCTTCTTCTTCTTCTTCTTCTTCCATTTTCGAGCTCCAAAGGTCTTAGAGAGAGAGAAACTTCAAATATCCATATCTTCTTCATTTTAGCTCCAAATTGTAAGTTCTTTATATGTATTTTCATCTTCTCAACGTGTAGAATCTGAATCTGTGCTTTGTTTGTTCGATCTGTTCTTCGAAAATTTCCAGATTATTTTTCAAGCATTTCGCATTGTCTTCCAAAAATTAAATAAAATAGTTATTGATGTTGAATTCATTCCAATTAATTATATAGTTGTTCACTAGCCTCAAGGTAGTTAATAATCTGATTAAAGTTAATTTTCATGAAGTAGGAGTAATTTTTAATTAATTTCGGTAATTATTTGATATTATTGCATAAATTAGAATAAATACTCAAAAAAAGGAAAAAAAATTAGTTCGGCCCTAATTCCAGTTTAGTTAACTTAAATATCACTACTAGTAGTTAAAATAAAATTTAGTACGAATTTAGAGTATTTTTAGTTGCTTTTTGCATTTTCTAGTTAAAATTGGGAAAATCATCAATTAGTTGCTAAAATTGGATCTTAAATTTATTAATTCGTGAAAAATTCCAGAAAATTATATTTTAGTTCATATAAGTTTATTTTTCCAGAATATAAGCCTTGTTTAAATTTTTGCTATCATCCATGTGTAATTCTTTTTAATGTTGACTATATTCATTATATTGTTAATTGTAAAAATGATGTTTAGTAGCTAAATTTGTTTTGGGCATGAATTGAGAAAAAGAATATGGATTGACTTGTTGACCGAAAATTAGGGTTTAAAATTAATAAATTGGACTAGTTGTTTAAAATGATGAAATAGTAATTAATAATAGTTAGCCATTTTCATTAATTAAAATATTGGAAAATTATTTCTAACTTGTCTATGAGATTAGAAATTAATTTAAGCCAACCATATTTGAGCACATTAATAAGGCCTAGAAATAGGATAATTTAATGAAAAGGATTTACATCTTGTCTATGAGAAATAAATTCAATTGCTTAAATAATGAGTTTAACTAGTTAATGAATTTGGCTATTTTTATTAATTTAAATATTGGAGAATTATTTCTACCTTGTCTATGGGTTTAGAATATAATTTAAGCCAACCATTTTAAGCACATTAATGACACCTAGAAATAGGATAAATAATGAAGATAGTTTCTATTCTTGTCTATGAGGAAAGAAATTATTAGTCCAACTTTAGTCTTAATTTCCCTAATTAAAAGGTCCAAGAACATATCTATTTCTAATTACTCAATTCATTGCCCTTATTTGCATCAATCTTTAGAACACTTAATTTTTAAACATTAATCTTTAAATTGAACCTAGCTCTTACTTATAAACTGGCATAATTTAGAACACAACCACTTTCCTATATTTAAAAAGCTTCCAACGATTAGCGATAGCCCGTGACTAAAACTAAATTAAGAAACTTCCCCACCATTCCTCAAGAGACACGATACTCTGGGAAAAACCGAAAGGTTAGACTCCGTTTTACTACAACGCCGCGAAAGCGGTTATCAATACACTTAGGGAAAGGGTTAGACACGTGTCTACACCAGGCAGCCCTAAATTGAAAGCTCTAGGCTCACTTACTAGTTTTAGATTAAAAAAATTAAAATGCCTAACTATTTAATTATGCTTAACTATTTAATTAATACGGATCCGAGATTCCGAGTAAGACATTTACCTTTTTGCTTTTATTTATTTTAATGGTCTGAATATGTTTGTTTCTGTTTGCTTTTTTATTTGTTTCAGTTGTAATACTGTGGTTATGGATTTGGATGTGAGTGATGGATTGACTGTGATGACCGTCTTTGGCCCATTTGTGCCCATTAATGGATCAACAAGTTATATTGCCGAGGCGATTAACTCTGAGTCTGATTCGAGTGACGGCGGTTTTCAGGAGTCTTTTTATAGTTTTACCTACTATATAAATGATGTGTTATCAATTTAAACTTATTTCTTCCACACACAAAATACTGACTCCGAGTAAGTTACTAGCTAGTAGCTAGCTCTCTAACAGATGGAACACCCCTACGGTTGGGAATCATAACCAAGCTAAGTAGTCCGTATTATTGTACTTTTATTTTTTATTACTCCGTATTACGTAGTACTTATTATTATTATTATAATTATCATCATCATCATCATCAATATTACTATTATCAATATTATTATTTATTATTGTTATTTATCACTCCGTATTATTTTTGTTATTATTATTATTATTTGGATGTTATTATAAATATAAAAGAATAAGTGTTTGCGATTAATACATTAAAAAAAACTCTTTGCCTTAGTATTTTAAAAAATAGTGTTATATTGTTATAAGACGAGAAAAATTCATATTAGTAGTAACAATATAAAAATTCATATTAGATGAGAAAAATATATCATTTTTGTTGCATTGTTATAAAAATTCATATTAGTAACATTCAGATGAGACGAATCAAACACCTTCTTACCCGATTTCTTTCATCAAAAGCCAACTTTAAGATTTTGGTATACTTAGAGCCAGGGCCGGTCCCGAGAATCTGAAGGCCCTGTGCAATAAAAAAAATGGGCTTTCCTTCAATATAAGTAGAAATAGAACATAAATAAGGATGATTGCAGTGATAAATTATTAATAATTTATTTTTAAAATACATGTTACTTATGAACAAAATAGTAAAAATAAAAGTATTCATTAATAAAATACATTTCATTAAAAAGGGACATTATTTGGACACATAATTACTGCCAAGTTGCTAGAATTCCTCCACTTATCTAATACCGGAGTACCTATTTGTTAGAGGATTTAAACTAATAGACTACCTGGTCAATTATAAAAAAATACTCCGTAGTTTAATTACCTGGTTAATTAGCTAGAGAAAATCAGAAATAACAATCTAAGCTGCTAAATTTCATCAAAAAATTAGAAGGCGTAATGGAGTAATGGCCCTAATAATTATAATATATAATTTAAATCAGCAATGAAATCTCAATATATCACATAATAATCAAGAAGATTCATAAACTATAATCTTTAATTTTTAATAAAAAATTAAAGATTGACGGATTGTGGCGTGGTTAGCGACTCAAGCGAAGGAGCAGACTGGAGGCTTCGAGGTGTGGTGCAGTCGAAGCCCTAGACGGTGGTCAGCATTTCTCGAGGTCGTCCGTCTCTGTTTCTTTGCTTGTAGAGAGATGAGAGGAGAAGGCAGTTGACGGATGGTGCTTGTAGCTTAACATGTGCGTTGAAATTAGAGGGCTTCTATTTTTCTTGGGCTTAGACTATCTAATACTACTACTAACATTTTAAAAATTTTGGGCCTTCAATATTTATGGGCCCTGTGCCATTGCACACCCAGCACATGCCCTGGGCCGGGCCTGCTTAGAGCCCGTTTGGTAATACCAAATCGGCTGTATTAGCTGATTCTGCTGAAATTTATGAAGTGCTGGATGAAGTGGCTAGATTGACCGATTCTTCTGATTTACGAAAAAATTATATTTTAAATATATTTAATAATAAAATAAAAAAGAATTATATGAAAAATATCTAAAATGATCTTCTACAATAACTTAGTCAATACAGTCAGAAAAACAACTTCAACCTAACTTTTTTCGTATTATTACACAATTCATCATGTGAAATCAAAAGTTTTGTGTTTGGTGAAAAAGTTAGTTAATAAGCCCAATAAGCCGAAAAACAAGGTCACCAAACAGTCTCTTAGAGGGTGTTTGGCAACATCTTTTTTCGGCTTATCAGGCTTATCAGCCAACTTTTTCACCAAACACGTAACTTTTACTTTCGCGCGCTAAATTGTGTAATAAGCAGAAAAAGTAAGGTTAGAGTTACTTTTCCGGCTGTATTGGCTGAAGTTACTGTAGATGACCATTTTAGCTATTTTTACATATAACTTTTTCTTTATTTTATTAATAAAACATATTTTAAAAATAATTTTTACTTAAATCAGCAGAAACAGCCAAAGCAGCTACTTCAGCCAGAACTTCATGAATTTCAGCAGAATCAGCCAAAACAGCCGATTTTTGTGCTACCAAATGGGCTCTTAATGTGTTTTTAAATTGATTCTAATTAAGTTCCGATTTTAGCCATTCTATGGTTTTTGCTTAGAGCATCACCAATGGGACACCGTTAACATAGAATAAATTATGACACATGGCAATTAATGAATGGAATAGTCATCCACCTCATGTTGGAGTGGTGTAACTTGACCGTGAATCCCAAAAAACAAGTCCAACGCTTCATCGTTAACGGCCTAAAAAATTAATGCGTACATCATATTTTAGTAACTGCCTAAAAACCCTGCACCCCAAACCTACGAGACATATTGTCTTCTACGTGCTCTCCTAGCAATTTCTCTTGAGATCAAAAGTCACCGCCTATATATATATCTACGCTACACTATAAATTTGGTGGGGTTATATATTGAATTGGGTCAAACAACTTGCTTAATCCACAACAATTTTAGCAGGTAATGAATTTTGATATCGTGATGCTTTTTATATCTAACATTTTTTTCTATTAATTGTTTGAATTAAATTGTTTAGATTCTTTTCATTCTTATTTCGGTTGAGTCCGTTGATGATTTTAAAAAAAAAATTTACTTTTTGTAAGCAGGTTGATTTTGACATAAATGGAAACACCTATTTATGATTCGGATTCCAATAGCTCATCATCTAGCGAAGAGTCACTTACAACATTGAAACAAATGCTCGATGACTCAAGGAGGGATGATGCCGTTTATGACCAAATGAATATTGATGTAGTTGAGACGTGTGTGGTTCGTATCCCAATGATATTGTCTTCTACGTTAATTAGTAACAAAGGTCATCATGGCGGCTCAACAATTGGTAGGCGGTATATACATCGTGATAGGAAAGAGCGTCATGATCTAATTGTTAATGATTATTTCAATGGTGTGAATTCAAAGTATACACCTGAGAAATTTCGTCGTCGATTTCGGATGGACATTGAATTATTCCAGCGAATTTTGGGAGCAATTGAGAACCATGATGATTATTTTACACAAAAGTTTGATGCGGTTGGAAAACCTGGGTTGAGTCCTTTACAAAAAATATTGGCTTCGATACGTATGTTAGCATATGGTTGTGCAGCAGATATTTTAGATGAGTATGTCCAAATTGGAGAGAGTACAGCAATAGAGAGTTTGAAACGATTTTGTGATGCTATAATTGATATTTTTGAAACACAATATCTAAGAAAACCAGACAAAGATGATATTGCAAGACTTTTGAAAGAGGGAGAGGACCGAGGGTTTCCAGGTATGATTGGTAGTATAGATTGTATGCATTGGCATTGGAAAAATTGTCCAACAGCTTGGCACGGGACACATACTAACGGTTTTAAAAGAGTTCCAACTCTTATTTTGGAGATCGTAGCTTCTAAGAGTTTATGGATTTGGCATACATTTTTTGGAATGGCCGGTACAAATAATGATGTTACCGTTTTAGATAGATCTCCCTTATTTGATGACCTAGTTAATGATAAAGCCCCGGCATGCAATTACGTAGTGAATGGTCATTCTTATAATATGGCGTACTATCTATCAGATGGAATTTATCCACAATATGCTACTTTAATCCAAACAATATCAAATCCCTCTTCTTTGAAGGAGAAACTATTTGCAGATAAATTTACATTGGTGATGGTTTAAACGAATACATTTACAGATAAATTTGCTTAAACGGTTTAGAGGTGTTGTTGATCGAATATCCCATTCACGATGTACTTATTTTTTCTTAACCGGTAATGCAAGTATGCTTTGAGAAAAAGTTTTGTTGGATATAGTATAATCGGGTCATTTATTATGAATGTATTGTTTTTAATGTTTGATGATGAAATTTGCATTTAAAGAGCTAGCTTATCCAAAAATAAAAAATGAAAGTCTTTAGTTGATTGATAAAAAATGAAAGTGATAATCTTAAGTTGGTATCGAGGGAGTAGTAGCTTTCAAAGTCTAATAATAAACTTTAGAGCCCGTTTGGTAAACCTGTTTTTTCATCTATCAACCAACTTTTTTACCAAACATGAAACTTTTGATTTCACGCGCTGAATTTTGTAATAATAAGACAGACACGAAACAATTTTGATTAATATAATATAATAGTGTCGTTGATGATAACTATGATGTTATGAGTGTATTATTTTTAATATTTGATAAATAAATTGTAATTTGAAATTACTAAAGACATTATTGAACCTTTTATGAGATTAGTTTACATAATAAGACATTGAACTTTTCATGAGCTTTTAAATTACTAAAGGCGGCATGCTCATGTGGGCTTTTTTCATCCATACACAAAAACACTGTCATGTTTGAAGTCAGATATTGCCAAAATATGACAATAATAACTCCTATTTAGGGAATAAAAATATGATAGAAATAATATGGTGAAATTTGTTCAACTTAATTTTTACTTGATGTTTAGTTGTAACATTTGTTCAACACTTCAATTGTTGATTTGATTGTGCCATTAGCCGAGTAGATGAGTAAAATTATTGATAAACCATTATCTCAAAGTGAAGACGTTATCTCAAAGTGCATACGGAGTAACATTTTGAAACATTATATGCTATTATGCTTTTTAAATATAAACGTTAATGTTGTTGTTCTAATGTAGCCCAACGGTTGCTTTTTAATTTATTTTACACATTAAATTGCTATTGCCCTCATGGTCTCATGGAACTTAATGTTGCTACTTGCTACCGTCATGCAGCCTAATGTTACAATGTTACATTGCTTCCGCCACCAAAATTGAAATCTAAATGCCACAAAATTTCTTTTAATACAATTTGCTCAATGTAGGACCAATCGTACACAAAGTGCAAAAATAAGACAAACTGTGTTTTATTTCTCAAATAGGACTTATTTAGTTCCATAAAAAGAATATATAAGTTGAGTAAAACTTCCCACAGTATGAGTGAATGAGTCATATTTGGAAAATAAAACAATCATAGTCTACGTAACATCAAAATCAGTGGTGTAAATCTCAATTGACATTTACCAAGTATTATTAATAGCGAAAAGAAATTTACACACAAATAAAATAAAAAACAATATGACAGAGCAAAATACAAAATAATAAAATTAAATACGGATGTACAAAATGCCCACATAGTTTACGTGTAGGAGGCCTTTTACACTAATGGAAGGCTCACGCTGAAGATTGAAAATACGATGTCCGTGTTCATGCCTTCTTTGACGAGATGGTGATCTAGCTATCGAATGAATTTACTGTAGCAATAAATTAGTTTCAATTTTTTCAGATTGAGCTTTGATATCGATATCTTTTTTCCATAACCCATTCCCTTTAGATGTCATGGAGCGAAAGCGGCACCGTTAAATATTTTTGTCTACATTTTACGTAGTATAATCAAACTAAAAAAAAATCTTTTATCCCGTACACGGCACGGGTAAAAATACTAGTGTTGAATACTTTAGGGAAATGATCTTAGATAGTAGGGGTGGGATCGGCCCAGTCTGAGTCGGGTTTTTGCTAAACCCAGAAATTACCCGGAAGGTCTCGGGTTATGAAGATTAGGGACCGGAACAAAACCCATTATATTCGGTCCAAGTCGGGTTTTTGGTAACCCGGGTTCGGTCCGGGTTCGGGTTGGGCCGGTTAAAGCCGGAACGTGAAATATATCATTGTTCTTTTATATTTTAACACCTATTTTCAAATAAAATTAATCAAATATACAAACCGATAATAATAATATAAATATTAGTCTCCAAAATCACCAACAATTTAAATCCAAAAAAGATCATTATCTTAATATTTTATTTAAGATGCATGTAAATAATAATTTAGGTTTCTTAAAAATATTACGAAATAAAATTTATAGATAAAAATGTGACTAGAGTTGCTATAAATATATTTCCATGGTCATTACGCTAAACAAATTGAAAATATTTGTAGTCACTAAAAGTTACTTGATGATTTTTTTATCCACCATGATTATAATCATATATTAGGAAATATTTATAAATTTATATTCATGTAATATATTAATTTTATATAAAAGCTAAGGGCCTGTTTACTAACAGAGATATTTTCCAGTTTTCCAGAAAAGTGGAAAACTGGAAAACTAAAAACAGGAAACGTGTTTACCAAAGAAACTTGCTGGAAAACTGGAGAAAGGAAAACAAAAAAACACGTTTACCAAATCGTTTTCCAAAACGAAAAAAATGAGACATGTATCTCTTTTCCTTAATGATTTGGAGAAGTGACTTTTAATAGTTTTCCATATTTGGAAAACGCAGATGCTACCAGTACTGCTGCAATAAATTTGCATACTTACACCTAGTGGTGGGTCCGGTCCCGCTCCGATGTCGATTCCATTCCGGTACCTCCATCCTCGTACCTTACCCCTTACCCCTACCCTACCCCACGACCCAACCCCCACCACGCGTACCCTTTTCCCTACAATGGCCCTACCCCAACCCCTACCACACGCCCCTACCTCCGCCCCACCCCGATCCACCCTACCCTACCGCCACCCCCCTACCACCTCGACCCCACCCCCAACCCACCCCTCGTATATTACCTCTTACCCCTACCTTACCCTTTACCACATACCCTTACCTCGGCCCCACCCCATCGCCATCCTACCCCCCACCCTCGTTTCGCCATCCTACCCCCACTCTCGTATTGCCATCCTACCCCCACTCTCGTATCGCCATCCTACCCCCACTCTCGTATCGCCATCCTACCCCCACCCTACTGCCATCCTAACCCCACCCTACCCTTCCCCTACCTCGGCCCCACCCTACCGCCATCCTATCCCAACTCCCTACCTACCATACCCCAACCCCAAACCCTACCCACTACCCCCCACCCTTACCGCCATCCTACCCCCCACCCTACCACCACCCTACCACCACCCTACCCCCATCGCCATCCTACACCCCACCCTAACCCAACCCCAACCTTACCCACTACCCCCACCCTTACCCCTAACCACGACCCTAACCCACCCATTACCCCCACCCACCCCCCTACCCCTAGACCTTACCACCCCACCCCGACCATACCCTTTACCCCACCCCCACCCATACCTTCCCTACCCCCACCTCTACGAGTAGGTATGGGTGGGTATATATGAAGGGGTTGTAGGGGAGTATGGGTAGAGTGTAAGATCGTGGTAAGGGTAGGTGTCAAGAATGTGGAATTGGGTGTAGGATGTAGGGTGGGGGTACGAGGTATAGGCTAGGGGTTAGGGGTATGGGTACACGTACGAGGTGATCGACCCCACATATTATATTATATTATATATTTGTGTTCATTAATGTTTGTGTGTCTATATATGTATAGGGTTATTTTGGACATTTTAATGTTAAATGATGTTTTAAACCTGATGGAGTATATGGCCCGGGAGCCCCCGGCCCATAGACTCCTACTTCTCCTACACAAGTCCATTGGGCCCAGAGAACAACTCAGGCCCAAATACGGCGGCCCAAGCCTCAACATAGCCCAGAACACACACTGGGGTGCCTTCGGCTTCCTTGGCCGAAGGCTCCAAACCTCGCAGGATAGCCTTCTCTGGCATAAGAAGCTACTGGGAGAAAACGGCGAAAAACATGAGCCTTCGGCACTATCAAGCCCTCGACATCGGAGAGGCCTTCGGCTGAAATCCTCCTTCGGTCACGACATGCCTTCGGCCACACAGGGGTCCTCGATGATTTGGAGCCCTCGGCTACACAGGGAGCCTTCGGCCAAACACGCTCAATCATCGGAGATTCCTTTTAGAGACAGCCAACCACCGCATTTAATGCCACGTCACATCCGCCAACCGCATTCAATGCGGTGGACGTACCACTGCCGGTGCCAACCGGCTGATGTGACCCTTCGGCCGTTGGATTACTGACACGTGTATTCTCATCGCATTTATTGCTGCTATAAATAGCAGCCCATTTCTCCTTGTAATCGACATCTACACCCAACTCCCACACGCTGAGTTCATTTAATAAAATCGACTCTCTCTCCTCCTATTTACTCTGACTTCTCTCTAGTTATTCCCGCAATAACCCCTCGGATAGGATACCCCCCGGGTAGACTATCCATCATTTGGTGCTCTCGTTGAGAGGTCTGAACTATCAAGTAAGAAACCCTCCCCCCACACCAAACACAAAACACTTACCAAAAATGGGAAGAACTACTCGTGCCCAATCCAAAACCCTGGAAGAGAACCATGTAGCCCCCGGTGAAACCAACGGGGCTGAGGCCTCCAACAGGCTCTTAGTGCCCGAGGGTGGTATCATCCTCGAATTGGAGCAGGCTACCGCTGACCTCCGTCAGCAGCTGCAGAAAAACACCCCTGATGCCCGCATTGGCCTTGATAATCGAAGGAGGGATCGGAGTGAGAACCAAGTTCCCCCTCCGGCCTCGGCCATCGATCTTCAGGCTGCCTTTGCGGCCTTTGTTCAAAACATGGCTCTCAATTCCGGAGCCCTCGCCTCTCAGGCACCCCTTCAGCCCTATGCTGGGGGGAATGTTATCAACCTACCACCACTCCCTCCCTCGTTCAACAACCCTCCCCCGGGGGTTGGCAATGCCGAGGGGGTCCTAGCACAGGATACCGCCTCCCAGGAGGCTCAATCCAGGGATAAGCGCCCCATGATGAAGGAGAAACCCCGGACCTCTGCACTTGAGAGGCTTGGGGGAGCTCCCGGACGCCGAGGGGTCCAAGACCGCCTCGGCAAGCAAGAATTCAGCAGGCCCCAGGAGAGTGGTGCCTCCGCTTCG